AGGACAAAGACCATTTTGGCTCTGGCATCCCTCGCCACGCAGGTTCACAGCACCGCACAGTCACAGGGCAAGGAGCAGAGCTGTCACACCGTGCTGGGTCCGTGCCACAGCTGCCACACCACATCACACGCACCGTGCCCTGAGCGCTGCAGTTCCTCGCGACAGACATGGTTTAATCAGTCTGACTCCGGGGCTTAGTGCGAGACCATTATCTCCCAGGGAACAAGATGAAATCTTGAGTCAATACAAGTGTGATCTGGGCCTCAACATGAAAAGAGAAATTCCCCTTGAAGTGTAATGCAATCTGAATCCACAGCTGCAAAATCTAATCAAAGGATGAAATGCACCCTTTTAACTTCAGAAAGAATGCAAGATGTGAAATATGTGATAGATCTGGAGGGAGCAGCTGGGATGACTCCAGGAAAGCCACAGAAAGAATGAGGATGCAGAGAAGCTCTCAAAGGTTTACCTTCCACTCAGATGTATAATCAGACGTTGCATTCTCCTGCCAGTCATTTCAACCCCTCCCCAAGAAGAGACCAGTTTCTGACATGTCCAACATGAGGCCAGCCCCCTATCATGAATAAGACAACCTCAGAGCCAACTTCAGACCCATATTGAGGGTGTTAAGAAAATCATTGAACAGTTCATTGAGAATTCAGTGCTGGCAGCTCCATCTGTCCTTTCCCCATACAAATGACAAAAAAGAAATCCACATCTGCAGCAGCTGGAGAACACAGAAACACACAAGCTATTCATGTGATGGTGGATGTTCTTCTAACAGAGACCAGACACTTGTGCCCCTTCGCAAGTAGCCAAAGACCAACCGTTCCCGCACCAGGACCTGGAGCTCACTGCACAACATCCTGGCTGCACACTTGAACACACGTGTATCTGAAACCTCCCATGGATGGGCTTTTGTGAGCTGTGGCCTGGTGTAACCAGTAAGCCACGTTTTGGAGGAAGAAGAACTAAACCACACACCAGCACGTTGCACACAGTGCCCAGCAACCCTGTTACAACCTGCAGTGCCCTGGCCTGGAGAGGACCAGATGACCCAGCACAAAACCAGGTTTCTCCTCAAATCACAGCTCTGCCAAGGACCATCCTCACGAGTGGTCACAGAATCCCAGCCTGGTTTGGGTGTAAGGGACCTTAAAGCTCCTCCAGTTCCAACCCCTGCCATGGGCAGGGACACCTTCCACTGGAGCAGGTTGCTCCAAGCCCCTGTGTCCAACCTGGCCTTGAACACTGCCAGGGATGGGGCAGCCACAGCTTCTCTGGTCCTCCCTCAGGACTCACTTCATCCACATTTTGTCCCCTGCACATCCCCATGTGCAGTTCAGCCCCCCGGTTTTCAGTGAAATCCTATTTGGGCATTTGTGATCTGATTTGCACACACTGATCAAGGATATTCAGAGTAAATAATGATGCAAAAACTAATTCTGGGTCCTGATCTGCTGGGGAGGGGGCAGATGAAGGCTGCTCACCTCGTGCTGCTCGCTCTGCAGAGCAGGGGGTTTCCAGCCCATCACTGCAGCCTCAGAGCACCTGTAGCCACCGGGATGTTCACAGCTCACCATCACTTCCTCTCAGGCACATCTTCCTCTGCAGTTCATCCTTCCAAAAACTGCCCTTTTTCACTTAGTTACCTCCTTGTTAATGACGTTACAGAAACCTGCAGGTCTGGGAATACAGAAATTAGATATTTAGTCCAAAATGTTGTAACCACAAAACCGATAATTTCGAAGAGATTAACAGGGAAGAGATGGCTTTTACTACAGTGAGGAGAATTACTAACTCACACAATAAACCCCCAATGTCCTCGAGGCTTTTCACTCAGTTTTGGGCTTTTTGAAAGTAACAAGAACTCCTCATTTTCATAGCACCCACCTGCCTACATCCCCTGTAGCAGCCTACTCATTTTGTTTTTATAATATACTCCCATGCAGTGAGGTGCTGCAGGGCCCCAGCGAGCCAGAAGTCGCTGTGCCTGACTCATTGTGCTAAAAAGTAGGTTCTTGTCCCCATTTCTGGAGGGCTGTTTGCTGGGTGTGCACACCTTCAGCTCAGTTCTCCCAGGAGTTCATCATTCCAAATAAGACTATTAGACCTTGTAACAGCCTCCCAATACCTAAACGTGCCGACAAGAAACCTGGAGAGGGGCTTTGGACAAGGGATGTAGGGACAGGACAAGGGGAATGGCTTGAACCTGCCAGAAGGGAGACTGAGATGAGCTCTGAGGCAGAAGCTCTTCCCTGTGAGGGTGCTGAGGTGCTGGCACAGGGTGCCCAGAGAAGCTGTGGCTGCCCCATCCCTGGCAGTGTTCAAGGCCAGGTTGGACACAGGGGCTTGGAGCAACCTGCTCTAGTGGAAGGTGTCCCTGCCCGGGGCAGGGGTTGGAGCTGGAGGATCCTTAAACTCCCTTCAACCCAAACCAGGCTGGGATTCCATGATTCTATTCTGTTTGCGTGTGAATATATCCGATTGTTCAGTGCTCGGAAGGCACAGTGCCAAGGCTGGCTGAGAGGATTGTCTTTGTACTCTGCACTTCACACTAAAATGCTGTATTGATCTGGGATGGAAAGCACAGTCTGCATTTTAATTGCAACAAATACAAGTTTTCACCTGTTTAAAGCTTTGCCTGCACTCAGACACTGTCCTTCCTTCACCTGAGAAAGAAACAAAAGGGAAAGGCACCTCTGGAAATTCATTTTTATTTCGTTTGGGAGAGCTCAATGCTTTTACCAAGAATGCTCTGTGCAATCAGTCTTGCAACAAAGTAGTACTTTGTGAGAAATGCCTGCAGTACTTGCACCTCCTTTGTGGTCCCTCAGCACAGGTATTTCGTAAGCCGTGGGCAAGTTCTGCTCAGAGATTATACCTTGCAGCCACCTAACACCTACCCCAACCCAGCAGCATCCTCAGACACCTGGATATTCCTGCCCTGAATACTGCAATTTGCAGGGTGAGCTGTCATACGTTAGAATTTATATCTTTTTTTATTGACAGAAGTAAAAACATCAGTGAAACCTATCTCCCATAGGAAAATCTAAACAAATCCAGGGTAATTCCATCACCTGATTATGAATGAACATAGTACAGGAAAAGATCAAACCAACAATACATATGGGAAATTCAAAGCATATTTTAATTAATATTCCAGTTCCAAATACAAATCAAATCATTACCACAAGTGACATTCCATGATTTTGTACTAAGTGAAAGAATCCTCTTTAAAAGGTTCCCATTGTTTACCACGTATTGGATTTCGCTTTATTTTCAATGCTCCATAAAACACCAACAGGAGAAAAAGCATTTAACTACATTTCCAACCTAATTAAACAAAAAATATCTAAATCAGCAGTTCTGCAGTTGGAACATTGGGTTAGAAGAGATGAGAAGAATTCACTGTGCGTTTTGAGGAGCAGTCAGAGAAACCAACCCTTTGACAGAACACCCCTGCAGCACCAGCATGACAAACAGAAACACTCTCCTCACTGAGAGAGCCAGGATAATATTCCTGAGTGTGCACCTCTCTGCTCTCAGACACAGCTTACCAACTCCATGAATTCCAAACCCAAGGGATTACAACAGAACAGGAAGGGACCCCCAGGAGAGCCCAGACTGTGTGTCACAGTGCATGGTCCATGCACAGACTGGCAGCAGCAGAATAAACCTACAGCACAAGGGAAGAGCTCCTCAGGGATCCAGGGATTCCACTGAAGAGATTCAAATTCTCAGAGGCAAATCAAAGGCAAATCATTAGCAATTTGGCTTTCCGTGTCATCTTCTTCAGTCATTTCCACATTCAGTTCCAAGTTCTGGCCTTAAACTTCAAGCTTTACACTCTGCAAACTGCAATAAGAAGGGAAAATGAGAGACAATTATGCTATACATCTACATCAACTGTGCTCTTTTTGTTTTCCTTTTCATAAATAAGATACATTTTAGCATTGGATTATCTTCAAGCTCTGTGCTGGAAAATAGAAATACATGTCCTTACCGTGTCTTATTTTCACTATCACCAAACAAAAACCAACCAAACAAAAAGAGAGTGAAAAACAGAGGGATAAAAAGTACATCAAACTAGGATTCTATCATTCTATGTGTGTATACTCATACACAAACACATCTACACCTCATGTGTTTCAGGTAAGCTGCCTTGAGAAATCAAGTCACTATGTGGCACCACATTCACTGCCACGGATAAAGAACAATTTTTATCTATTGTCTGAAATCCAGAAGGTTGGGTAGAGGAGTAGAAGTAGTGCTTATAAATGAAATAGGTTACTCCAGTATCAGACTTATTCTATGACGGAAGCTCTTTGCTTGAAGCTCCTTAATATATTTCAACCCCCTAAAACCATGACATGAAACATCTGAAGCACACACTAGGCACTTCCATGCCTACATGAGAGTCTCCTCTCAGTCTGACTTCAGTGGATATCCCCATCACTCAGGGGCCAGGGACATCCTGTCTGAATCTATGTCAACTCAGATGGTGGCTGACAAGGATTGTAAACCTTGGTGCATAGAGAAACGTAACAACAAAAGCTTTACACACACTCTGCAAGGTACCCTTATGATTAAATTAAGTGAAGCAAGAATTAACCAGCAGACAGTTTAGTGAGCAAGGCAGAGGACCAGAGGGGAAATCAGTTTGAGAGTGATGGCACTAAGGTAACAATCCACTTACTGCAGCTTTCAGAGCCTGATCTATGTCTTCCAGTAAATCTTCTTCATCTTCCAAACCAATTGACAGGCGAAGTAATGTATCACTGATTCCAAGAGCTTCTCTATCTTCTTTAGGCACCGAGGAGTGAGTCATGATGGCCCTGGAGGAAGAAAATAGCCTTTTTTCTAAGAAGTTTTTAGTTTTATCAGTAAAGACCAAACCAATTGGTTCCCTGCCAGCATCCCCCGAGATTCCATGAAGCTTTTACACCTTCCGGGTCCCACCTGCTGATTAACCCACAGATGCAAAGAGATCATGTCCTCAGCTACTGTAAGTTATATGAACTGCAGACAAGTCAGTGACTTGTATCTCCCAGTACAGTATTTCCAAGCCACTAATGATGAACAAGAAGCGGATACTTAATCTGGACCAGAAAAAGGAGAAAGTCCTATTTCTCTTCCTTCCAGATATACTTAATTCCCTTTTTTCCTAGAAATGGGTATGCACATGGAGAAACAGCCACAATAGACAATCTCCAGTGTAAAATCTCCTGAGTTCTTGATTTTTCTTTTAACTTTTGGTTTCTTAGATCACTTGTCAAACTGTACCCACTTACAGTGAGGAGTTTATTCCCTGTGCTACGGAGGATACAGGTAAAGAGCTATTTCCCCCATGTGCTCAGTCACTGACATCCACCAATTCCCAATTACCTTTCAGCTCATAGAACCACAAAATGGTTTGGGTTGGAAGGGACCTTCAAGATCATCTAGTTCTGACCTCCCTGCCATGGGCAGGGAAATGTTTGAGTGGTTTAAGATTTGTTGTTATTCTAAAATGAATAACTGAAAAGATTAAGCATATTAGTCATAACTTCCCATGTATCTTTTTGAAAAGCAAATTGGATTGAAGTAAAATAATCCAATTCCATAAAAATTCTATTTTTTAGCCTTTTAGCCTAGATAGAGACACCTATATTACTAAATTCCCCACGAAATTCCCCTGACATGGAGACAGACACAGCCTAAGCAGCATACTGACCATGCCCTCTTGTGTAAGCAGGCAGAATAGCAGAGCTCCTTCCTCAACAGCGTGACCTAATCTGTTCACTGCTTACTCTAACACACGCTGATTTCTTGGGTTGATTATCATCATAGTAACAAATCACATCTCAGCCCCCCAGTTAAAACAACGAAACCTGGAAATTCTTTCAACATCACACTCTTATAGTCACTAAAGCCACGCTCATTCCTGGGGTAGCCTCTGGGTTTTGTGCTATACATTCTATCCTCGGATCTCCATTATGTGACAAATATCTTGGCTTTGTGGACTAGGAAGTTTTAGAGCTCCTATAATAATTTTTGTTACTCTGCAGCTTTTTTTAGGCTTTTAAGATGAAGGATGACTTACGGATGCTCTGCAAGGCTTTCATAGCCACCCAGACTCTCAGCCAGCACAAAAACCTGTGGGAAAATCAAGTTAACATAACAAGTGTAAGGTTATGAATGCCTGGAAAAAGACACTTAAGGGAAAAGGAATGTTTAGGGTTTTTTCTAAGATTTTATATTATAATTTTTGCATTATAAAAGGTATTAACTGTAATTAGGGCAAAATTCTACATTTAGCAGGTACGAGATACTAAGATTTAAACCAGACTTGTCCTAAAAAGGCTCTGAAGAGACACTGATGCAAAGCTGAAATTAAAATATGTCCATGTTGATCAAATGTAACTCAGGAGTAGCTCCTACAGTGCAACACATGGGAAGGGCAGAGGGGAAAAGCACAACACGAGGGAGCAGCTCTGCCTGGGCACCACCAGCGTTTGCTCTGCTCGGAGGATAGAGCAGGCTGCCTGAACAAAGACTGAGACCTCATCAATTTCAGCTGAGGTTTAAGTGATTATACCCTCTCCTTACAGCCCCGTCTTTCAGCACTGATCCCTGAATTATGGACATGCATTCCTGGGTGACAAGAGGCTCTCTAGAGAGCCAGCTGCACTCAAACATAGACTCACAGTGTGCCTGCTGTAAATGCACTTACTGCCCTCAATGTTCCTCTGCAGCCCCAGTTGCTCATATCCACTTTTTTCCCCTTTAAACAAACCAGCCCTAAACCTATCAACTAAATAACCCTCTTCTCACCCTGGTTTAAGGAAATGGCTCTACTTTTGTACCAACCTAGTGACAAACTGATGGTTATCCAAGTCAAAGGGCTGAACTGAATATACTCATAAGAACCTGCTTCTCCTGGAATGCATTTCCTGACACTTTCTGTCCAAGCTGGCAGATCTCCTGTGCCAGGATTAAAAGCTCTCTCTCATGTAAAATAGTCTTTTATGGGAAAACTGTGTTTTTAGTAAATTCATTTTCAGCTGATGACATTAGCTGGCAAGTAAGGCAGACATGGAGGAGAAGGAAGTTCTAATTTGCCTTTGTTGTTTATTACTGCTCTGTTTTGCCAAGAAAAACCAGCAAAAGCACAAGTGCAGGATGCAAACTAACCAGAGATCAAGACTAGCAAACACATTAAAGAGCACAGGCAGAATTATTACATGGCAAAGACAAAGGCAAAAGCCTATGGTTTAGGTAAAACAAACAAACAAGTCTTCTCCAGTCTGAGGGACTCCCTATTTGTTTCATGATTCATGTCATTTCTCAATGAGCTTTTGCCCTGACGAGTGCTTTGAAATATTACAACAGTATTACACCAGCCCCAGCTCCTCTGCTTTCAAATCCTCCAGGTATTTCTGCAGAAGGCAGGCATGCAGGCCCTTTGTAGAAGCAATGCCTGGATATACTACACCCCACTGTGTAAACAAACACTTCAAATGAGCCCAGGCATCCTTCACTTCCCTCTCATTAGCCTCCATTTACAAATAATGTATTATTTAGAGATGGCTACACCCAAAAGACTTGAGGAGTTTTGCAAGTCCAGAGAAAGACTCTCCCCACCCCACTTCCTTTATCACCCTCAGAAGCACAGCCTCAGTGCCCCTAAGGCAGCGTGTATTCACCATCATTTACCTTTAAATTCTTGAGGAAGGCAGCAGCATTTTTGAGGCTCCCTTTAATGTAAAAGGCGATCATGCCAGGACAGCCAGTACACTGCTGCTTGATCAGCTCATGCTGAGGGTGTGAGGGCAAACCTGAAAGCCAGAGAAGTTGCTTTAACTTGCCATCACTTCAAAGGGTAGAGCAGCTCACCCACAGCAATGCAGGAACAGCCACTGCCGAGGTGGACACCCAATCTAGTCACCCAACGTGAAGGGTGCACAAGCTACACGTAGCACTACGGTGCTGAACTCCAGACGTCACCCACTCTGAAGTCCTGCCAACCTACCTGGGAAAATGACTTTCTCCACCCGGGAATGTGACTCAAGGAATCGAGCAACAGCCAATGCGTTGTGGAAATGTTGCTTCATCCGGATGTGCAGTGTCTTCAGACCACGATTGCACAGGTAACAGTCAAAGGGGGATGGAACAGCTCCAAGAGCTACAGAAGTTAAAACGTACAGCTAAGGTTGGATAAAACTTACTACAGTCCTACTTTCCAAATTCCTAACGTTAGAACAAGACCAGTGCAAAGAGGTTTGATGCAATCTGCCTTCCTCACCTCACACACACGGGAAGCCAATTATTGAGCTGGATTAACAAGATGAAGACTCAAGGATTAAATTTATTAGACATAATATACCTTTAGTCTCTCTGTTGTAGACAGAGGGCAGACAGAACACTATACAGAAAAGTATTTATTACAATTAAGAGGCAATAAAATTATTAAAATCAACCTACATAAGAAAACTCTGCATTAGGCATATCCTCTGATGTGTGAATGAGTTTAAAAAACCCAGACGTACTTGACACAAGTTAGGTGGAATTAAATAAAGGCATAATTTAAATGTTTGTATGCCTCTTCATATACATCAAGGTCATATAGGAAATGATGGTGCTTTCTGCCATGGTCTTAACTACAACCTAAAGAGAGGCTTGGTGAGGAGTTGTGCCCCATGTACTGCAGTTGCTGCCCATGGGGACAGCACTCAGTGCTTTCTGGAAAGCAGGGACAGAGGGGAGTTACAGTCCAGCAGCCAAGAGTGCTGCCTTCATTCAAGCCCCTGCCCCAGACAATTCACCCCACTCAGCAGCCAATGGTGAACAAATGGGGAACGACCCACCCTGCTCTCAGGGTCAGAGGCATTAGGAAGTGAGACCAGTGTTGTAAACTTTATCTGAGAGAAGCCAGGGAGGGATACCAACAGCTGCCGTGTTTGTATAAGGCCAGTGAAAGGCAAGGAAGAGACTTCAGGATTCTTACATCTGTGTCACCACTTCCTCCTCTCTGGCCATTTACACTTCTGGACATGTAAATGCCTGAGCTACATCTCTAGATAGGTTTCATGCTTGTGGGTATGCAACACACTTCCCATTATGAGCTGGCACATTTGAACCCGACTGATTTCAAGCTATTTCCTATATTGACTACTTACAGTTTTGTAGGAATTTAAGCTTCTCGTAGATCTCATCACAGTTTACTGAGACAAGTCCCATTACAACATCACTATGCCCTAAAACCACAAGAAGACAAGAACAGAATCAGCCACTCCATCAGCTCCAGGGTTATGCCACAAACTCCCATTTTCTCAGTCCTGTTGCTAATACAGTCCCTTTTTTGCAAGACATGGGGTTCCTTCTCATTGCTACAGCTCTTCCTGTGCAGCACATGAATTGTAGGGCAGATTTCAGCTTTTTCTAAAGCTCTGGTCAGCTGCGTGCTCTGCCTTGTGCCCCCAGACACTTCCCAAGCCAACTCCCAGCAAGTGGGAATTCCAGGGTACAGGAATCAGGTATGTCCTGCTGAGCTGTCTAAGCAAGGGCGAACACCAGACAGGAAACTTCTCCTTCTATCCACACCACCAGGGACTTTAGCACAGCTACAGTCGTGTTAGCTCCAAGTCTGGGCTGCCTGGGACACAACACAGTGAACGTGCTTTTGGACAGGCTCCACCACAGATGAATGAAACCTCCTTTGAACCTTAATGTATTTTCTGGCCAATACCTTCTACTGAAGCCACTTGCTTTGTTGTAGGCAAATTAAAGTCAACATGGCTATAAACACCTCTAGGTCTAGTGCCTGAAGTCAAGTCAATATTCCTTCTCCCAGTGATGGTTTAGGAGCTATGAAGACTAACGGCCTATTTGATGGTTCACCACCTCTAATGATCCACGTAAGAACCCATGGATCTTACATGGATCCATGCAAGAATCCATGCAAAGACACATTAGATTTTGTGAGCTGTGAGGGTGGTGAGGCCCTGGCACAGGCCGTCCAGCAACGTGGCTCTAGTGGAAGGTGTCCCTGCCCGTGGCAGGGACTTGGAACTGGATGAGCTTTGAAGGTCCCTTCAACCCAAACCATCCCATGCTTCTATGAACTGCCCGCAGCCAGAATGGCTTTTGAACAGCCAGCCTGAGTTGTGCCAAAGTGACACACTTACCATTCATGTATTTGGTTGCAGAATACATACAAATATCAGCCCCCAGAGATAAAGGACGCTGGAATGAAACGAAAATAAGAGGTCTGATTAAAGCTCATGTGCACTGTGGTTCATTTCAAGCTATCCAGAAAGGCTGTGATCCGACACAGAAAGTAACAATAGGTGAAGAAACCGAAAACCACAAAAACTTCACACCTTAAAAACAAAAACCTGAGAATGAAGATAGGATACGTGACAAAAACAATAGTACAGGACAGCACTTTGATTCAAGATAAGCACGATAAAAAGAACCCACAATAATATGTGATGTAAAAGGACTGGTCCGATTCCTGACACCTTCAGGAGGAGCAGTGATTGAATACATCCAACATACAGCCCATTCATATATATGTGAAAAGAGTTCTATTGCTTAGCTGAGGCAGGGATGAGCAATGCTATTTACTCTAAAGTGTGTTTGTTTAGGAAATGAAGACCTCAATGCAGCCTGCAAAGCAAAGGGTCTGCATTGTTGTCTAGACATCAGTATTGGTGATACAGCACCGAAAGAGCAACCGAAACCTGAAGAGAGTGCAAAGGGTTTTCCTTGCCAGGCCTCTCTTCCCTGACCTCCCAGCTTTCCTGACAGAAGCCTTTCTAAGGTGAGGCAAAGGGAGATGTTGATGGGCAAGAAGTAATGACCAATAATTTTAATCAGTCACTAAGTAAAGGACTTTGCACATAACATAAACACATTACAAAGGCTGTAAAGTATCAATACGTTAAAAGGTAACAGCAGATTTAGAATGAGAAGCTGCTGCTGTCAGATTAAACATGACACCTAGGCAAGGAACGTGGATAATGTGCATTCCTGGTGTGCAGCCAGGAGAACAGCAGTATAAACACCAGTGCCGCTTACACTCAACAGTGCTGCACAAATCACTCTTCAATTAGGATCTTCTCAGCACAGTGCATCAGCAGCAGTCTGGAGGGGTTTAAAGACACTACCTATTACTTAGAATTAATCATTACAACTGACTTTCTCTTAGTACCAGGCCAATAAAAGCCACATTAACTAGCTCATATATCCAGATGCTCACTTTGCTTCTTTCAAACTCGTCTTGCTAAAGAAATATATGTTGCAGGGGGGAAATCACCAAGCCTTTGTCATGTAGAAGACAAACTCAAGGGCTGCTTTAGCTAAGCATTAACACCTTCTGTAAAGCTCTATTAATTTATGAAGATCTCAGAACCCTTAACAAAAACAGATACCTTGCCTTTTGCACTCATAAAAAAGTTTTACTTTAGACCTAAACCACAAGGGATCAGCTTGGTCTCCTGGGAAATGCACATGAATATTTCTAGCCCACATTAAGATGAACAAGACTTCAAAGTTGTATTGTCTTCACTTCATGTATTCTAGTTATCCAAGCAGAAAAGTTATGCCAGTTGTTTGAGATCAAAATTACAAACTTCTAAGCCACACATTCACCAAAATATTGAAGAAAAAGGTAACTTGGATGTCTCAAAAGAAGACTTAACAAAGTTTGCTTGGTTCAACTTCTTCTACTAACTTTTTTTGAATATCAAGTGGTTCAGAAGAGATCATAAACAGCCTATAAAAAAATTGGTATAAAAAGGTCGAAGTTATAAAACAGGACATTTTTAACAGGCCTGTTATGATTTCCATCAGTGAGAACTAAAAACCAATGATTTGTGAATGACAGCAAAGCCATTCTCCCAGTGCCCTACCTGAGTGTCTTGATTCAGTGTGTTTACTGGACTGCTGAGCTCTATTTAGTCTGCTGGTATCACAGTGGGATATGGCTAACTACAAAATACTCTGCATACCGTCCTTACTAATGTAACTAGCACAGTACATGGGTTGTATTTAGAAACAGAACAGGTAATTTTACAACACACAGATCAAAACTACAGTCCCTTGGTGGTGCTTCCATTTAAAAAATGCACCTTTGAATACACGGAAATAATGGGGTAGTTGTAAACAAAGTGCTTACCTGGAAATACGCAGACATAAAAGTGTTGTCTACCACCAGAAGAACATCTTTATGCTTGTGTACTACATCTGCACAGGCCTGAATGTCAATGATCTTCAGTGTGGGGTTTGTGGGCGTTTCAATCCAAACGAGCTGCAGTAATTCAACAGCACAAAATGGCACTTTAGAGGCTGTACAGTGCTGGTGATGACACCTGTGTAAGTCACAAGTGCTTTAAATATCAGTTTGTTGAGTGTCAGCTTCCCATGCAGGTTTGCAGAGTGGCAATAAGACAGCATCCCTACAGAAGAAAAATAGGGTGCCCAGAGAAGCTGTGGCTGCCCCATCCCTGGCAGTGTTCAAGGTCAGGTTGGACACAGGGGCTTGGAGCAACCTGCTCTAGTGGAAGGTGTCCCTGCCCGTGGCAGGGGTTGGAGCTGGATCAGCTTTAAGGCCCCTTCCAACCCAAACCAGTCTGGGATTATATGGTTCTTGGGGGAGGAAATATTCTCCATAAAAATAACTGGCACAAGGGAATAACATCAAACCTCAGTCTGTGTCTGAAGATGGCCTGACATAGCCACATGAAAGTCTTTACATCCAAAACTTTGTAAGCCATTTCCAGCTGAGTGATTTTCCACTAGAGCAGAGGATTATCTATCTGTTCCAGCGCCATGGAGCACCTCCTCCTCCTCTGACCTTGCTGTTCCTCCTGTTGTTTCTGACCTTTTTCCTCCTCCTCTCTCTCTCCATGGTGTTTTTATCCTTCTTAAAATGTTGTCAGTGATGCACCACCAACATCACCAAGTGGACTGGGGTGGGGACATGCTGGAGCCAGCTTTGCTCCAGTCTGTCCCCACAAAAGCCACCCCTGCAGCCCCCTTTGTTTGACACGTACACCCATTACAACAACAGTAAGAATGGACATTAAGTAAGTTCAGCAATTTCCCTCTCCCCTACCTTGGTCTCTGGTGTAATTGCAGCTTCCAGGCATTCCATATTTGCACAGTCAACAAAAACTACGTTCAAACCCATTTTCACGGCTACTTTTCGGAAGTACCTGTTTGTGCCTAAAAAAAACAGAAACGAAGAATCAGAAACACAAAACAAAACTTCACTGATCTCCAGACTCCTGTATTCACCCACGGAAAGTCAGGAGGGTACAATTTTATGCTGTTTACCATGAACGGCACATTATTATTTTTTATTCCTAAAAAGTTTAAAGATTGCCATAGATCATGGAAAAGGACTAATGGGAATATGGAGTCAGAGTGATTTAAGAAGTACTTTCAATTAACAGCTGTTCAGGGTTGTTTTAATCACAAAATTAAATGGCCCTCTTTTAGTCTCCCTTCTTCTAACATTTCCTCTCTTCCATTGCCATGCACAAGCTAGTTGTTCCAGCTTTTATCTCCTCTTTCCCCCAGCTTTTATATCCTCTTTCAATAAGTTCTTTCCACCACATATTTTCAAACTCTTTTTTCTATTTAATAAGCTTCATTGCTTCTTCTCTGCCCAGATTCTCAAGGGAAAGACTCCAGCTACTGTGTTTCTTTACCATTCCATTAAAGCATCATGTAGCGAGGAACATAAAAGAGTGATGATTTTCTTCCTTTCTGTCTTTGAAGCCTTTCATTGGAAAGATTAAAAGAAGAAACCAGAAGCAACCAGTTGATCATTAGACGTTCAGCACAGTGACTATCTGCTGCCTGGATTAAAAATTAAGTCTTTCAGTCTCTCTGCCAAGGTTGTTCAACATCCACTCACTCACACAGAACAGGAGTTTGCCATTTAGCCATAAAGTCATCGTACGTGCAGGGTATGATCCTGTGCACTGAATGCTACATCTGAATGATGGTTTTCTTAAGGAAGTACTTTTATTTCTACAATGAGCTGTGTATTATATTGTCTCTTGTGCTGTAGGAAATATGTTCAGGCATGGAAAATTGTCAACTCGACAAACAACAGAAAGTTGCTTTATAGTAGTCTTACATACGTTAAGTAATAGCACACTACAATAAAACCTTAGGTTGAAATGGGAGGTTACACAGAAAGTAGCCCTTTTAAGAAGTTACATCAGTGGCTCAGAATTCAGAGGTGTCAAAACCTGGCAGCTCCTCCTCACCCTTCCCAAAACTCAGCGTCTCTTAAACACGTCCCAGGCAATGCACTTGTCAGCATTGCCCGAGAGCTTTCCAATTCTTTCACTGTTTTTCTGAGAGCCTTGCAAAATGCAGCCTCATTTGAGATAGCAAGTGCAGCTCTGCTCTCCTATCCAGCCTGGCCTTTTACAGAAGAACATGGTAGAAGCTTAGCAAAGCCAGTGAGCCCTTGAGGGAGCAGGGGCACATACCATGCTCACCCAAGACTCAAAGGTTGCTATTACAAGGCTGAAGAATCAAGCTGAGAGAGCTGGGCTGGTTCAGCTGGAGAAGAGAAGGCTCCTGAAGGGGACACCTTAGAGCAGCTCCAGGGCCTAAAGGGGCGCCAGGAAACCTGGAGAGGGGCTTTGGACAAGGGAGGGAGGGACAGGACAAGGGCTTGAACCTGCCAGAGGGGAGATTGAGATGAGCTCTGAGGCAGAAGCTCTCCCCTGTGAGGGTGCTGAGGCGCTGGCACAGGTTGCCAGGAGAAGCTGTGGCTGCCCCATCCCTGGCAGTGTTCAAGGCCAGGTTGGACACAGGGGCTTGGAGCAACCTGCTCTAGTGGAAGGTGTCCCTGCCCGGGGCAGGCGACTGGAACTGGATGAGTTTTAAGGTCCCTTCCAACACAAACCAGGCTGGGATTCTGTGATTCTAAGAACACAAGCAGGAAAGATGACTGGGAACAGCCATAAGAGCACAGCCAAGGAGAAAAACAAGCAGGGATTTAGGGGATAAAGAGCCCCTTATAGCCGAGAGAAGAACGAAGGGGCTGAACACACACTGGCCGCAGTGTCTAGTGGCAGATCTGCAGATGTGCCATGTCATGGGGTGTGAGCTCTGCTGAATAGGGCTGTCTGTGGGGAAGCTGGTCTCTTTGCAACAGAAGTATGAAAAGAAAAACCTCGGGGAAGAAACCATGAAATTCATCTGTGTGAAACCACCAGGGGCTGAGGCTTTAATGAGCAGATGAACTGGTTTTGCTTGAAAAATATACCCATGGGCTTTTCTGAAGTGAGGAGCTGATAATACATTTTGGCCAAATGACTTTGATTTACTGAGTTCTGTAGTGGGAGGACCGTGAATTTAAGGAGCGGCTTGTCAGTGGGGATTCCTGCTCCACTCAACTTGGCTCCAGGTGTACTTTGGAGAAGAGCTATGTGGCACGAACTAAGACTTTAAAGCAAATGCGTGCATTTGTATTTGATGTGCACAAGCAGAGAGAACTGACTGGCAAACAGTACTCACCCATCACTGGGAAAGGTGATTACTCTTGCTGGCAGATTTTCCAGCTATTGCTTGGGAAAACACAACCTGCTGCTGGCCTCTCTAAACTTCCTTTGGAAACAAAGCAGATTTGATCTCCTTGTGCCAAGGCCTTGAAGCAGGCAGAGGAAGACAAGCTTTGCTGATCAGTTGAAACACAGGAGTTGGGCACTGAGGACTCTGTCACAGGACATCTGGGCAGACTTTCCTGGCAGGGACTTTTGGGTGACATCAATCTTTTGAAGGACTTTGGCAGAGGTGGATGGACTCTGCTACTTGGGAGTTTCTTGGAAGAATGGATCAAAAAAAACTATACAAGATGAAAACCTAATAGTGGGCTGCAGCACCACGGAAGCATTCAGAAGATGTGGGCATGGCAGATGCAAGTTGTGCTTTCAGGGAATATGACAGAATAGTTGCTTGAAACAGTCCAGAAAAAATGCTGGTTGATAAAGGGTCAAACCTAGGAAGGGAACAGTAGAAATACGAGCAGCTGGGAAGCTCTGGTGCATTGGTCTGTGGAGGGTCCCGCTCTGCAAACAAATCTGTGCAATGCCAAGATGTTGCTATTTTCTAGTTCTTACTAGTTAGCTATACTGTTTTAAACCTGCATGTTGTGCCACAGAACCTTCCAGTGTTTGAATTCCTAGCACCACAATCAGACAGGGGTGTTCTGTGTTCTCAGGAAGTGAAAAGGCTGCAAAGGGACGTAAGGTCCTATGTGGGAAATTCGGTTCATGACAATCACAAATAGGTACATTTAATCAGTTGTGCAATGAAGATCAAAAGCGCACTTGTGTTTTACATACCTCCATAGACATCATCCATGCAGATAATCGTGTCCCCTGCCTTTAACAGGTGAGTAATATTCAAAGTAGCAGCTAAGCCAGAAGCATAAGCTAAACCTAAAAGAGAAAAGAGTAAGTGGCAGACAAACTGTGTTTTAATGTGATACAACCTTGTCAAACTTGCCTTCACTTTCCTCACTTTGCTTTCAAAAGGAACCTGTTCTGTTGCTCTCGCTTTCGCTGTCTCACTCACTCAGTGGATTGAGTAAAAGCATCAGCCTGATTTTACACAGAGTGGAACCCAGCACGAACACTAGTCCAGGAAGAGCTGCTGCTTGGCTCCTGCTCCCCACTGCATTCAGTGTTGCTGCACAAGGACAAACTCAGTTTAGCTTAGACACCAAACGCAGCAAAAGGAAACCCTACAGAAGCCAGGGATTGAGCTGGACTTTCCTGAGTGATAAATGTTGGACTCTTTTCACTCTTGCCCATAACCAGCAATCAGAGGCAGTGAAAGCCTTGCCATGATGTGACAGCTGCTGACAGCCTGGTATCCTTGCTCCCCCAGTTATGCCTGCTGTAGATCATCAAGAGATACACGTGCTGACATCTTGCTTGATGAAACTATTAATTACTTACAGTATTTAGCTCCATCTAGTGCTGCCACAGCCTTCTCCAGGCAATTCCGGCTGGGGTTTCCACTCCGGCTGTATTCATAACCCTGGTGGGGAAGCAAACACAACTTAGGAGAGAGCACTGAGAAAGTTTTGTACAATAGTTGTCAGATCCCTTAAAAAGCTCTGGTGCTCAGCACTGAGGTTGTGCATGCACCTCCTCCGAGACCAGCAGGCTGGTTTTCTGGCTACACCAAGCTGCTGTACTCAACATCTGACCGGGCATCCCCAACCTGAAAATGGTTTCTGAAGGAAGTATCACACTGCTGGCCATGTTCTCCTCCTTTCTCCTAGATATCCACCTCTGGTCACTGTTGGAGAAAAAGCCTCAGGCTGATAGTCCACTCATGTTATCAGGAAGAATGTGTCCCATCACCATGATGCTCTGCTTGGCAGATGCTACAGGGCACTGGCCAGCACCAACTTGTGCCCATCAAAAGTTCCTGAAAGCTGAAGTGTTTCCCTGGCATGCAACCAGACCAAGTTCCACGTTCCAGTGCAACGGCTTCTATGTGAAAACTGAGAAAATTGAATGAGAAAAAAAATACTCATGCAGGGGAGACATTAGAGCAGCTCCAGTGCCTAAAGGGGCTCCAGGAAACCTGGAGAGGGGCTTTGGACAAGGGCCTGTAGGGACAGGACAAGGGGAATGGCTTGAACCTGCCCGAGGGGAGACTGAGATGAGCTCTGAGGCAGAAGCTCTTCCCTGTGAGGGTGCTGAGGCGCTGGCACAGGGTGCCCAGAGAAGCTGTGGCTGCCCCATCCCTGGCAGTGTTCAAGGTCAGGTTGGACACAGGGGCTTGGAGCAACCTGCTCTAGTGGAAGGTGTCCCTGCCCGGGGCAGGGGTTGGAGCTGGAGGAGCTTTAAGCTCCCTCCCAACACAAACCAGGCTGGGATTCTGTGCATGGATGCACATATTACAGAGGGAACCTGCTAAGTGCCCTGGTATCTGTGCACTTTCAGGACTTCCACTTAATGAGAACTTGATCGTGTTCAGGAACCTGGCAGACGGCTCTCACGGAGCTTCCAGCAGGAACACGGCCATGCTCTTGTCAGTACAGGAACACAGCAGCATGTGACTCCTTCGTCTGTGGTCTTCTTCAACACAGCTGCTGACTTAGAAGCACTCACAGCTTAGCCTGTGTGAGTGGCTGTGTGGAATGAAAGACCTCAAGGCAAACCCGGATTGCCCAACCAGCGCAGGGTGATGTTCGGGACCCAGCTTTGGAACAAACACTGGTTTGTGAGCGGCAGGTTTGTGCCATCTCCCTCATACGCGTGGGGCAGCCTCAGACCTCATGAAGGTTCAACCCCAGTGTTTCCAGCACTTTCTACGATACAATCCAAACCATTTGACATGGGTTAGTGGTGGCCTTGGCAGTTCTGGGGCAACAGTTGGACTTGATCTT